ATGCATGATGCATCGATATTCCAATAATCGTTCAGACTGCTAATCCGTCCATACCTCCATAGATTGAAATTAAGTTGCTTTTCAGTTCAGACTGGTGATGTGTGGTTTGTACCACATCAAAGTCACTGCTTAAACCTAAATATCCAAACAAAATGCTGAAGCTCAAGCGTAGGAACGGTCATAAAAATAATCCAGTAAAACCATCTTATGACCGGCTTGGGCTGAGCCACAAATCAGTACCAGCCCGTACTGTATGAACTAAATTATGAATTAATCACAGTTTATACCGGTATGGCCTAATCCCTATGAAGTGTTTTTCACTCGGAACGATAACAGTCATACTGAAGCAGCACAGAACTGTTTCATTGCAAGAATCGTACGATATGCGACACAAGGAGGGAACACTTCCTAATGGTCAAAGTGCACCTTATTATTATTTGAAAGAAATTGGCTCCTCAGAGTTGCTGAGGAAACAAAGACGCCTCAAAGGAAGCATTAATTACGCATTAATCATTCCCTCCTGCGGCATTGCCAATCGTGAGAGATGATACGAACCGCTTCTGTGAGGAAAGGATCAGATTTGCTGCACTTGTTGTCGAAAAACTACTTAACCGACAAGACAAACATGGAGTTCGCGTCTCGATTCCATACGAACGAAATGCTACAAACCAATCAAACAACCTCCGAACTTGGTCACGTGATTTCCTTTGAAGAAAGGCCGTAGGATATCCACCGCAACGCAGTATCGGTCAGTCACCATTCACAACCTTATTGCACTATATTTGTTCAGTTGCTCGAAAAGCAAGCAAGGTTTCTGACCGATTACAGCCAATCAATCTGAATAAAACTGTTTCGCCCTCTTACTATTTTTCAGTTCGTATTCATAATTCTGTTTGTGATGGATTTCACGAATACCTCAGCGGTTCAGGAAGTTGCAGCATCGTGTATGTTACCGTGCAATACAAGCATATGCGAAACTTTCGTGCAGAAATGAGTGTCCTACGAGTGCCAGCGTACACAATGATTGGGCTGAACCTGTTGGCTGATAGTTATACACTTTCGGCAGGCAGCTTTGGACATTCCCCCAGAATCGAACACGATCCCTCTCAAGGGATGGCTAAAACAAGTCTGGTTGCAGCAGATCAGAAATCTGAACTAAACGCTGATGAGTACTGACCTGTTTTGAATAGCGAGTGCGCTCTTCTTTTGAGAACACAAAACCGGCTACAGTCGGAGTACTAAACGATCGATCAATGATCACTGAGTGCAACGGTGACTCAATGCACGTGTCATAGTTTG